TCCTTTTCATTTTCTTTCTTTCTTCTTTTTGGAGGCAGGGTCTCACTATGTAAACCAGGCTGGCCTTGAACTCACAGAGATCCACCTGCCTTTGCCTGCAATATTTTCTTAATTTCTCCATCCAATCCTGAAGTCCCCACTCCAGCTCTCCCCTGGGCATTAGAGGGATCTGTTAGGCATGTAGGTCAGGCCAGGTCATGCTTCTGCCCCAAATCTCAAGCAGTCTGAGGATCCAGTCCACCCAGGGCCTACCTAGATATCTGTTCTCACATTTCAGGAAAAATTGGAAGCACTTTTTAAAGATTTGATTGACCACATCCCAGCTAACATTCTCATTAAGATAGAATTCACATAATATGCAATTTCCTCACTTATAGCATAGAATCAAATCATTTAGTGTCTTCACAAGATTTGCACCTATTTAAAACATCCAGTAGGGCCACTTTGGCATGTATATCTGTGCTGAAATCACCATCACGATTGATATGATATCTGCCAGGGTTAGAAAGAAGCCTCAGTGGTTAAGAGCAGAGGACAGACCCAAGTTCAGTTGCAGAACCCTTGCAGGCAACTCACAACAGCCTGTAACTCCAGCTCCAGGGGATCCAACATCCTCTTCTGGACTCAGTGGGCATCTGCACTCACACATGCACATAAACATACGCATACATACATAATTAAAAATAAAAACAATCTTTTAAAAAAGTTATCTGTCACTCTCCAAAACCCCTCATGTTCATTTGTGACTTCTCTTCCTGTCAAATGTGGATCTACTTTCTGTCACTATCATGCAGTTCATATTTTCAAGAATGTTATATCTGAATAGACCCATTTAGTATGTACCATTGTTTTTTGTCCATTGCTTTAGTCTGCCTTCTTCCTGCAGAGTCACTCTGAGCTTTGTGTTTATTATAAGCATATGTCAACAGTTCAGGCTTGTGTTGTTGCTAAGTAGCCTTCAGTTGAATATGATACAACAGTTTACTCACCTACTGATAGAAACTGAGCTGCTTCTAGTCTGGAACTATTATAGAAACGTGCAATGAATCTTTGCATGAAGGCCTTTGTGTGACACATGCTTCCATTCCTCAGGTGTGAATATCTAGGAGCACATGACTAGGTCACATGAGGACAGTTGCTTAGTTCTTGAGAAGCTGACAAACTGTTTCCCAAGTGGTTGTATTTGTCATTTCTTCAGTGTGTGAGAGAGTTCCAGAATCCCTCAGCCTTGCCCCCACCTGATGAGGTTGATCCCATCTGTCTTAGCCTGGCTGTTGTGCTCACTCTTTCACCTCTAGTGTTCTACCCCCTCAGCATTCCCATTACACTGCCCACTGTCGCTCTCCACTGGCATACTGTTTTTTTTTTTAATCTTTATTTATTTGTTTTTATGTATATAAGTGTTTTGCCTATATGTGCGTAAGTGTACCACATGTAGGCAATGTCTACAGAGGCCAGAAGAGGGTGTTGAATCCCTTGGAACTGGACTTACAGGCTGTTGTTACCTGCACGTGGGTGCTGGGAACCAAACCTGGGTCTTCTGCAGGAGCAGACAACACTCTTAACCGCTGAGCCATCTCTCCAGGACTTGTCATGCTATTCTTACAACCTGGACACCTCTTTACCTGTCACTCATTTGAGTTAAGCCATTTTCTATTAATCCTCAGCCCCAGGGTTTTTAAACCCAGGTTTCTCACTATGTATGTACTATATATGAGTCATCTTTGTGTTACTGTAACAAATTACCTGAGATAAGCAACTTAAACAGAGAAATGATTTATTCTGGCTCACAGATTTGAGGGTTTCAGTCCATGACCCATTGTCCCTGTTGCTTTGGATTTGTGGTGAGGCAGCACATCATGGTGAAAACACATGGTAGAGGAAGCTGCTTACCTCACGGTGACCAGGAAGCAAAGAGAGAAAGAGGAAGGACACAACCTAATAACCTAATTTCTTCCCACTAGGCCCCATAACCTGAAGGTTCCAGCACTTCCCAGTAGAGCCACAGGCTGGGAACCAATCCTTCAACACACAGACCTTTGGGGGAGACTCAAGATCCAAACTAGAGCATGTTCCCACAAACTTCTCTGGGTGAACTTGAAGCTCCTTTTACATTAGGTGAAGCTGTTCGTGTGGCTCCTTCCCTTTCTCAAGGATAGGGCTCTAACATAGGCTTGGCGCTCTGTAGATCAGCAGTTGACAGGGACCCTTACCTGCGCTTCACCTGCTGGTAAACTGTGGCTGTTTTCTCTGGTTTAAAGAGAGATATTATTATAGCCATTGTCATTTGAAAATTTAAAATGGGAAACAATGTGTAGGTGGGGCAAGGTTTATAAATGAAGTGAACAGTTGTCCTAATTCTTAATATCCTTTGAACATAGAAGGCAAAATATAAATGAGATCAAAGGGACTCATGAACTTCAAGTAAATTAAATTTGGTCTAAAGGAGAGTTACCCAATCTGTCTTGACATAATGATTTTAAGGTTTCCTGTCTGACAGAGGTTTTGGTATTTTGAATGACCTAGGATTTGCCATTCAACCAGTAGTACTTTGTTTATGTTGGTGGTAAGGAAAAGACAGGGCTGAGCGGCGTATTTCCACACGCTTTTGAGAAAGTCTTGGTAATCAGCAGTATCTGCACGCTTTTCACCTCCCCACATAGTGGTTGGAAGTGGTTTTACAGGTTCACAGGAGGGAGGTGGGACGTAAAAGAGTGGTCTCCAGAAGGTAATGGGGGATGGTAAAGAGGTTGAGTTTCAAAGTCCGATTAGAAATCACAGGGATGGAATTCAGAGTAATTGTCACTGAGGCTTTACAGCCTGGGGATTTGGCCTGCTGTGCACAGCAGCCACTGCTGGGTTTTAACCCAGGCACAGCGCCTCCTGGGGGGACACGGCTCTGAATTAACCTGCAACTTGAGGAGTGGAAATAAAGCATCAGAATGTGGGAGTTCCTAAAGCAATCTACTGGCTAATCCAAATTGCTTTGAAATAGTCCTTCATAAGCCTTCTATTCCAAAGCAAGGGAGCTCCGTCCACCACAAGCTAAATAAAGCCCCCGTAAGACCAGTACCATTGTCATGGTTAAGATGATCTGGCTCAGGATTAAAGCCAACCAGAGCCTGACCTGTACAGGAGCAGCACACTGAGCTCAGACTCGCCTTTGAGAGAGCCAGGAGTTTCTGCACTGACAGGTATCCTGTGACAGAAAGGAGGAAAGGAAGCAAGAAGGGAGTGAAGGGGAGAATGAGGGAAGGGAGGAGGGAGGGAAGGAGAGAGGGAAGAAAGGAGGGAGGGAAGAAGGAAGGGCAGAAGGAGAGAGGGAAGGAGACAAGGAAGGGAAGGAAGGAAAGAAGAAAAGAAGGGAGGGAAGAAAGGAGAAATAAGGAAGGGGGGAGGGAGGGAGGCCCACCTCTGGTGTCCAGGTTCTGCCAACCCTCAGATCATGAGTTGAGTTGCAAAGGCAGGTACTTACACAGCCCTGCTGCCCCGCTTCTTTGTAGATCACAGGACAGTCCCACAGAGCTCTTTGACAGAACAATTGAGTGTGTGCTCAGCAGTCCCGCTCATCCACTCGGAGAGTATGAACAGAACAATCCTGATTTCTAGTTTCTACTTAAAAACAAAAGAAGAATAGGAAGATTTCTTCATGAATGGCCTCATGGGAAAAAAAATCTTTTGAACAAATTCCACATTGAGCTGTATTTATCTTCGATTTAAAAATGTTCACACGGGGGCTTGAGAGATGGCTCAGCGTTTAAGAGCACTGACTGCTTTTGCAGAGGACCCAGGTTCGATTCCCAGCACCCACATGGTGTCTGGGAACCATCCTTAACTCCAGTTCCAGGGGAATCCAAAGCCCTCTTCTGACCTCTGCACATTGCACGACACGGGTGCACTCACATACATGCCGGCAATATACTCACACACATAAAATAAAAATAATAAATAAAAAATATTTTTTTAAATGTTCACACTATTTTAAAGATGTCTGAATGTTGTTAACTTAGACCCAGCTCATCCCTACGTTCATCAGGAGTGACAACAACATTCAAAAACATGCTTAGCTAAATGTTCCATAAGAATAGTTACCTTTGTGCTTAAAACTGAAATTGTCTGATTGCTTAGATGACAAATTACAGGAAGCCCTTTTAAAAGTTACACGATTGCTCTCTGATTTGAGTATGAGGCCCTCTTTAGCGCAGGACCATCCTGGAGCTGGAGGTAGCCTCACACAGTAGTTTAAAGCACAGCCTCTGAGCCTGACTGCCTGGCTTCTGATTCTGGTTTCTCCATGTCCTGGGTTCATGTGTACCAGCATGCAATGATTCATTCATCTCTACAACCTACTCTGCAGTGGGTCTGCATTTCTCACATATTATTAGAACAGCGTCTAACACATATATATATATAAGCTATATAAATTTTTGCTAAGTATATACTTAAGGGACTGGGAAGATAGCTCATTGATAAAGTGTTTGGCACACAAGCATCAAGACCTGAGTTCTCATCCTCAGCACCCATGTTATAACCTCAGCACTGGGGAGGTGGAGACAGGAGGATCCTGAGGCCTCACTAGCTGGCCAGTCTATCCAGTCAATGAGCTCTAAGGTTCTGTAAGAGATCTGCCTCAAAAAATGAAGTAGAGAATGATCGAAGATGACACTGATGTTGACCTCTGGCCGCTGTGCAGGTGCACATGCATACACCCACATGCAGGTACAGGTACACAATTAATTAAAGTTTGTAAAATAAATAAATAAATAAATAAATAAAGTTTGTGCTCATACTCTATTTTGGTTGCTCAATGCTTCTGTAGAATACCCAAAAGCCTCTTTTCACTACCCAAAATATCATCCTATAAAAGTTTCCCAGTGAGTGTCTTGGCAGAGAGAAAGGAGACTTCAGGCAACAGACTGGGAGCCACACAGAAATGGCATTTAGAAATCCATTTTCCATCCTCATTGAGTTGAACTTACCTCAGAACTTTGGTTTTGCAGTTGGTGATGTACGTTGGTCAGATGGCCAAGGACATCCTGAAGTGGCCCCGGCCGTCTTCCCCTCCTGTTGTGAAACTTGAAAAGAGAGTGGTTGCAGAATACGGGATGCCATCCACCCACGCCATGGCAGCCACTGCCATTGCTTTCACCCTCCTTATCTCTACCATGGACAGGTACCAGGTAAGAAAGTCCAACTCATCTGCCTCCCAAGTCCACCTCTACTGGTAGAATGAGACAGCAGAGAGGGGTGCAGTTTGGACTTCCTTTTAAATCTGCTTTGAGGGACTTTAAGGTTAATGAGGTAAAGATTAAGAGAACAGGAAATCTACAGGGCTGTTGATGACAATTTCTTCATAGATAAAGTGATCATATAAATTAGACCCAAATGAGATTGTGCCAATGAGTAAGGACGGACACCATTCATAATCACACTAGAGCAGACAACACAGTGTGGGCTGTTCCAGTTGACCGCATCATCCTCCGGCCCCAGGAAGCATTTACCTGAGCTGCTACCTAGACAGACAGGAATCAGTGCTCATCCTGAGCTTGCAGCAGACACAAAGGGTTTATGATCCTCATAAACTATCCTTCAGGGCAGAGATGATCACACCAAATCCCTCTGCCAGACTCCCCAGGCCTGGGGTAGAAGTGAGTCTGTATCCCAAATTACCCTCCAAGGATAACTCTGCCCCTGGTTAGGGCTCAGCTATTAGAAATGATGACTCCATTTTTTTTTCAGAACCATATAAATGACAGGAGAGTAATAAATGTTAAAAATAGAAGAATTTCACTGAATATATGTGTCCTGGTTTGATTCTTCATTGCTGTGACAAAACACTCTGACCAGTACCAACTTGGGGAGGAAAGGGTTTATTTGTCTTACATCTCCCAGGTCACAGTTCATCAGGGAGCCCAAGGTAGGAACTCAGGGCAGGAACCTGGAGGCAGGAGCTGAAGCACAGGCCATGGAGGAACGCTGCTTACAGGCTTGCTCCCTTGGCCCCTGCTCACCCTGCTTTCTTATGCAACACAGGCCCACCTGCCCAGGGGTGGCACCACCCACAGTGGGCTGGGCCCTCCCACATCACTCATCAAGAAGATGCCCTTCAGACATGGCCACAGGCCAGTCCAATAGAGGCAATTCCCCTATTGAGGCTCCCTCAACCCAGGTATGTCAAGTTGACACTAAAGCTATCCAGCACAATATGCTTAGATGATAATTATAGCAAGAACTTTTAAAAGTTACATGGTTGCTGCAAGGAAGATTTCTTTTTCTGTTTTGCTTCTACTTGAGATATGTCAGTTTAATTTTATGTTTAATAAATTTTACCTGCTAACCATTGAAAATATTTTATTTCCTTAATCTTGGCAGTCTTGTAGTTAAATGGCAACAGTGTGCCGCCTGCTTTTATTTACCCCAGAAATCCACAGCCATTCCATATTCTAGATCAGGCAATAAAAGAATTCATCCAGCATGGTTGGAAGAGGTCAACACCAGGGTTCAGGTCTCAGCTTTACCTCTGTAATCTTCTACCTGACTACCTGGGCATAGATTTTTTTTTCTAAATTAGAAAAGGACAGTTGTAAGGAATATATCCAACTAGATGTAACCACTGTGTCCTAACTTGTTTAAATGTCATGCCAGGACCCCAAAATACCTGAACTCTCCAGGACTGAGTTCACAGAGACTTCTGACCTAGGCTGTGTACATACCCCATGGCCCAGCAGAACACAGTGACCAACCTCAGTCCTGAGTATACAAAAAATTGCCCTCAGTATACAAAGAGGTCTGTGAATATGCGTTAGTGTCACTTGGGACAGGAAGCAGCAAGGACAGAATGTCATGGTGATAGAGTGTGTGGCAGTGGAGTTTCTTCACATTGTGACGGACAGGAAGCATAGGGCAAAGAGAAGACTTCATCTTCAAAGGCACGCTTGGTGACCTAGATCCAGCTAGCTCCTAAAGTTTACATCACCAAAGTTTACATTACCTCCCCAAATAGTGCGAGACTACCACGGCCAAACATTCGCCCATGGAAGCACTTAATATTAAAACACAAATATACTAGTGCTTTCCATATTAAATGCCATTCTAGGTCCTCCCCAAAAGCAGTGAGGAGAGGCTGGCTGCAGGAAGAGAATCAAGGTTCAAGCACTCAGTGTTAGAACATGCCTGCTCCCTCAGCCTCCATAACTATAATCGAACACTCTTTCCGATGTGGCTTCTAAGCCACCACCTTAACTGGAATTCCAAGCTCATTTGAAAGCTGCTCAATTCTTCTTTAAAGCATTCTTTCTGACTCATATGATGCAGAATTGCTCCTAAGGCCTCCTTAGTTCAAGTGTGATTTTTTTTCCTACTCAATTTTTTATGATATATATACTTGGCTATTTGGGCTATTTACTAACAGCTCTAAACATGGATTGATGCAGGTGTTGGAGCTGAATGCATTAAGTTACTCATTTTAAATACCTTCTGATGAAAATCTGAGACTTAGTCAATGAAAAATCTTTAAAAAGAAAGTGTCAGTTATGGCAAACACATACCAGTAACCTCAGCACTCAGGAGACTGAGGCAGGAGGATCACAAGTTTGAGGCCCGCCTGGGCTTCATAAATAAGACCCTGTCTAAGAAAAACAATTTTAAAAGATATTTTATTTATTATTTCTTTTAAATTTTATGTGTGAGTGCATCGTCTGCATGGATGTAAGTGCACCCATGTCATGCAGTGCCCGTGGAGGTCAGAAAGGGAGTCGGATACCCTGGAACTGGAGTTACGAACAGTTATTAGCTGCCTTGTGGGTGCTGGGAACCAAACCTGGGTCCTTTGCAAGAGCAGCCAGTGCTCTTAACTGCCAAGCCATCTCTCCAACCCCAGAAAAACAACTTTTAAAAGAGAAGGTACACACCCTGGCGTTAATGAACTTGATGCTCCCTAGGAAGGAGCAGAAGAAAATAGCTTTTTGACTCTGCCACCAGTTGAATGACCTTTGGTACATCATTACACCTCTCAGAGCCTTGGCTCCTGTGGTGAGGACCAAGTGGGATGACTGATGGGAAAGCCTCCTGCAATAAAGGTTGATGCCACCATAACTTGCTGTCATGGTTCAGAGCACCCTCATAAAACAGAACTGATAATGATCTGGGGACTGGTCTTCACATGACATCATTTCTGCTCTTACTGCTATGGAACATGTTAGTAATCAGAGTAAGTGGGTTACACGTTTACATCCTGGCTATAAGTAGAATATCTGTGTTCCTTATGTGAGTCAGTCTTTGCCAGAATCTTGCAGCTGCTATTACTACCACCCACAGATGCTGCGTTTAGCAGGGTCTAGACAATTGCTCTAGCATCCGAATGCCCATTCTTAGCCTATGGCTTCTCAGAAGAAGTTGCTTGTGGAGCTTTCAGACTGTGTAGTGCCAGCCATCTACCTTGCTTTGTGATCAAATGGTTCACCAAGTTCTATAAAAATATGTCTAGGTTGGGCTGGAGAAATGGCTCAGTGATTAAGAGCGCTGGCTGCTCTTACAGAGGACTTAGATTCAATTCCCAGCACCCACATGGTGGCTAACAACTGGCCTAACTCCAGTTCCAGAGGATCCAACACCCTCTTCTGACCTCTGTGGGTACTGCACAACATAGGTGCACTTATGTACATGCAAGCAATACACTCATACACATAAAAATAATAATAAAATTTTTAAAAGAATATTTCTAGGCATTTTCTCCTTATCTTTCCTTATTTTTAAAATGTTTTCAGATGGTTAGCTTGCTGATCTAGGGACTCTGTAAGATTCAGAGTAGGAATTATGGCACAATGAATCATATTTCCTACTATGACATCCAATTGCCTAAGTCAGACTAGACTTGGTGGTGCAGGCCTGTAATCTTGGCTGCTTAAGAGCCTGAGACAAGAAAAAATTCACAACTGCAAACCCTACCTGGGTTACAGGATGAGTTCAAGTAAACTTAGACTATCTCAAAGTGAAAATAAAATAAAAGGACTAGAGATATAGCTTATTGGTAGAGGACCTGCTTAGCATGTATGAATGAGCCCCTAAATTCATCCCTGATAACACAACAGAGAGCGAGAGAGAAAGAGAGAACACACCTCATCTGAACATGATCTAAACTCCCCATTTTCTCTCCCCTCTGCAGTACCCCTTTGCCTTAGGCCTGGTGATGGCTGTGGTGTTTTCTACGTTGGTGTGTGTCAGCAGAATCTACACTGGAATGCACACAGTCCTGGTAAGGCTATGGGGACAGGCCTCGTGGTGACTGAATAGCATTTGGTCAGTGTGTCAGGGTGTTCCCTCAGCTGCTAAGGAATCTTTGCCAGCTTAGTGCAGTGGTGTGCACCTGTAACCACAGCCTCTTGGGAATCTGAGGCAGGAGAATCACAAGGAGACCCTGTCTCAAAAAAGAAGCTACTTGCTTGTCTAATTCTATTCCTCACTGGGTCAGAGTTAAATAATTATTATGTGGAAGTATATGCCTAATAATAGCAAAAGAATATTAAAGCCAGGTATGGGGGCACATATCAGCAGTCCCAGCTGCTTGAAGAGGTGAGGTAGGAGGATTGCAAGTTCTAAGCCAGCCTAGACAACTTAGTCCAGACTCAAAATAAAAAGGAGCTGAGCCTGGTGGTGCAGGCCTGTAATCCCAGTTACTCAGAGGACTAAAGCAAGAGGATTGTAAGTTCAGGGCCTACCTGGGCTACAGAGTGAGTTCTGGGCAATAGAATGAGACCCAATCTCAGGAGAGAAAGTAAAAGAAGGCTGGGGGTGTGCCTTACTTGTAGAACCTTCATCTGCCATGCCTGAGGGTCTGAGTTCAGTTCCAAGGACTGCTGAATGAATGAATGAATGAATGAATGAATGAATGAATGATAAATAAGGCTTAGCAGAGTAACTCAGAAAGAGAGAGAAAGGAAGAAAGAAGGAATGAAGGGAAGGGAAAAGAGGAGGGGAGCCGGAAAGGAAATATTAAAATAAGCCAAGCTTGGTGGCTCACACCTGTACTCTCAGTACTTGGAAAATGGAGAGAGTAGCTCAAGGTCACCCTCAGCGACATAGTGAGTTCTAGGCCAGCCTGAGCTACATATGACTGTGTTTCAAAACAAATTAAAATATATTAAGACAACACCTAGGCATGGTGGTGCACACCTTTACCCCCAGCACTCTGGAGGCAGAGGCAGGTTGATCTCTGTGAGATCAAGCCCAGCCTGGTCTACATAGTGAGTTCCAGGACAGCTGTGGGAGACCTATAGGGAAGGCCTGTCTCAAAAGACAAAAAAAGAAAAACTTATGACAATACCAATAAGGTGAAGGTTATCAGTTACTTTAAGTTGTCATTCTGACAGAATATCTGATATGGCTTCCTGAATTTTCACACTCTCTAAGGTTGGCAATGGTGGTGGGAACAGGGGGCTACATCTGCATTTAAAAGTTTATCTACCTTTGGGGGCTGGAGAGATGGCTCAGCAGTTAAGAGCAATGATTGCTCTTGCAGAGGACCCGGGTTTGATTCTCACTACGAATATGGTGGCTACAGACCATCCTTAACTCTAGTTCCAGGGGAATCCGAAGTCCTCTTCTGACCTCCATGGCATTGCATGACACAGGTGCACTCACATACATGAAGGCAATACACTCATACACATAAAATAAAAATAATAATTTTTTTTTTTTTGTCTTTTTGAGACAGGGTCTCCCTGTAGCCCAAGCTGTCCTGGAATTCGCTACACAGACCAGGCTGGTCTTGAACTCACAGAAATCCGCCTGCCTCTGCCTCCCAAGTGCTGGGACTACAAGCGTGTGCCCAGCATAAAAATATTTTTTTTAAAAGTTTATCTATCTTTAATCCCAGCACTTGGGAAGCAGAGGCAGGTGAATCTCAGTGAGATCGAGGCCAGCCTCATCTCCATAGCAAGTTCCAGACCAGCTGGGGATACAAGGAGGCCCTGTCTCAAAAAGACAAAACAACCAAACCAAATAGATGATGGATAGATGATAGATAGATAGATAGATAGATAGATAGATAGATAGATAGATAGATAGATAGATAGATAGATAGATAGATAGATAGATAGATAGATAGATAGATAGATAGATAGATAGATAGATAGATATAAATAAATAAATAAATAAATAAATGCTTATCTACCTTTATATTACAATTTCCCCCCTCCAGGTCTGCTAAGATTAGCTCAATAAAAATTCCTTGAGAATCTAGTGCCTACCACGTCAGCCAGCTGCATGGATGTTCAGAGCACAAAGCTAATCATGGTTAGACTCGGGCACTGGTTATTGTAAGACTCTGTGCAAGAAAGATTTTTTTTAAGACAAAGAGGCCCTTGTTCCTTGTATTCATCTCAGCTGTGAAACTCAAGGTGTCATTAGCAAAGGACCTTATTGGGAAGGTCACTTCCCTTCCTGTCTCTCTGCTGCCAGCAAGGGTTATCAGGTAATGGTGGAAGGATGGATCATCATGGGAAAATGCAAAAGGGAGTGATGACAGCAACTGGAGGCCTCAGGTGAGGCAGGTGAGGCACAAAATCAAATGGGTACCAGGCTGGGCTGTTGCTCAGCTGGTAAAGTGTTGTCTGGCATGCACAAAGTCCTGGGTTCCATCACAAAATGAGCTGTGTTAAGACACAGCTGTAATCCCAGCCCTTGGAAGGTAGAGGCATGAGGATCAGAAGTTCAAGGTCATCCTCAATTAGGTAGGAGATTTTAGGCCAACCTGGGCTATATGAGACCCTGTCTCAAAAAGAAAAAGAAGTATGACTGGTACCAAAACTTCAATAATTGAGGTAAATAATTTTAATGCAGTGTTTTTTTAGTTAAAATTAATGCAAAAAATTCCACGATGAGCAATATGTAAAGTAGAAATGGAGACGATATTTGCTCTGCATTTTCACAGCCCTACCTTACCTAATCCAGGTCCCAGTTAGTTTACCATTTGAGTGAAAGGGGGCCCAGTTCTTGCAAATACTGAAGAAGCAATTGGGGTCAGGTTTTTTTTTCTACCTACCAAATCACCGTGTCCTTGCACAACCCCCTTGCACCCCCTTCCCATCTGCTGGCTTCGGAGGAGAGGGCAGGAGAGGGAAGGGGAGGGAAGCATTCTCAATTTGCCACACTACTTCTCCACATGACAGAGAGGTTCTCTGCAAACCCATTCCTAGACTTCAGTGTGGAACTCCACAGCACTCTCTGGGGTGTTTTGGTATTCCTTTTATCTTGGGCTACTTTTTAATTTCCATAGGTTTCCATTTTGAAACAAATAGATCTTAGAAACTCAGGTTAAAATTAAAACCAAAGAAAACACAAGAATGTGGCACTCCAGACGTGGAGAGAGCACAAACCCACTTCAGTAAAGCACAGCTACAACTCGTCCCTCCTTTTCTTTTTAAAGTGGCTTTTGGAGATGAAGAAGCAGATATTTTCAGGAAGATAGATGAGGCCTCTGGTTCAGAGTCAATGAATGGGTGTAGCTATTCCTTGGGGAGGATCTTTCTAGAAGAGATTAAAGTGAAGGGCCAAGGCAAGCCCCTACCTCTGCACTGTTTCATGGTTGGGGCCCAGTGGTCCTCTCACACTGGCAATTCCACTGCCTGAAAATCTTGCATTGCCACACTAGATCAGGCCAAGGAGTGTGTCAGGTTATGGGACCAAAGCCGGGCTTAGGACACCCTGAGTCACGATGTCTAGCAAAAGGAAGGTCTGGCTATAGAGTGGAATGATGGGAGAGTTGATGTTGTACATTTCTGTGTTCAGTAGCATCTTGATGATCTCTGAGGGGTGTCAGGTTTGTAGCCAGATCTAGGAGACCCTGAGGACAAACCCACCTCCTGGGTGTCCAAGTCTGCTGTAGGAGGCCGATGGAAAGGCTGGTGGGTAACTTGGCATGAGTGCTCTCATTAGCAAGGCACAGCTGGCCTGAGTCCACTAGGGGAATGTCGTTACCTTCTGTGAACCCCTCAGTACGATCCCAGGGCAGGTAGTGCTTTCCTCTCCTGAACCCCAGAGAAATCTTTGCTTACTTTTCATTGAGTTTCCTACATGTGGATAAGGAATTGTACTTGTTTTCACTCCCACTCCCCTCTCTTATCCTCTCCATCTTCCACTGAAACCCTTCTTCATCCCAGCGACTCCCTATCCTCCCTTCAAACCTTCTTTTCGTGTGCAACCCACTGACTTTAATTTAAAAAATCATGGGTGGAATATTATTTACTGGAGCATGGACAACTTGTCGGAGGCCACACCCCTGAAGAAAGTGACTTCCCATTTGTGAGCAGTAATTAATTACCAGTTGTACCGCAGGGAGGGTGGGCCTCATGGGCCCCTCCCTCCTCCCATGGAAATTTTTTAAAAAATTAAAAAAATATATATATATATGGAGATATCCATGAAGACATATTTATAGTAGCATTATTCACAATGACCAAAAAGCTGGAAGCAACCTGTGCCCACTGATGAAGGAATAGATGAGAGAATATGCTATATATATACCTCCAGTAGAGTACTATTCAGTCTTAAATAAGCCAGTCATGAAAGGATGAACACTGTGGGATTCCACTTACCTGAAGAAGAGTAGCAAGATGAAGAGGCAGAGAATGGTTGTTGCCAGGGGTTGGGGAGAAGACGGCACGGGAAATTATTTCATGAGTATAGAAATTTGGTTTTACAAGATGGAAAGAGTTCTGTAGATGCATGTTGGGGGTGGTGGTACAGCAATGTGACAATACAATTTAAAATGGCAAAGATGGTCAATTTTCTAAGGTATTTGTTTATGGTACTTTTTTTTTTTTTTTTTTTTTTTTTTTTTGATCTTTGAGACAGGGTCTCCCTGTAGCCCCAGTTGTCCTGGAACTCACTATGTAGACCAGGCTGGCCTTGAACTCACTATGTATGTAGACCAAGCTGCCCTTGAACTCACAGAGATCCACCTGCCTCTGCCTCCTGAGTGCTGGGATTAAAGGCATGTGCCAACACACCCAACTATAGTACATTTTTAAAAATTTTAAAAGTCATGCTCAGGGGCTGGGAAGATGGCTGAGTGACTAGAAGTGCTTGCTGTGCAAGCATAGGTAGGACCTGAGTTTGAATCCCCAGAACTCCTGTAAAGAGGGACATGATAATTCTAGCACTCCTATGGGGAGATGGGAAGCAGAGACAGAATTCCTGGAAGCAAGACAGGACCAACATCTGAGGTTGTGCTCTCTGACCTCCATGTGTGCTGTA